TCTCTCATTTCTCATTTCCTCTTTCCCTCGTTTACGAACGCTCGGGGAAAAAGAAAAGCAGATCAGAGAGGAGAGAGAGGAACGGGAGAGAGGCGGAGAAGAGGAGGTGGGTGGTTATTAACCTTTGCAGAGATGCCACTCTGTTGATTTTCCTTCTGTGTTTAATCTTACACTTCAACTAATTAAAGCCATCAAACACACACATGTGCACGCTCACAGAGCTATGGGCATTTCTCAGTCTGCTAATTAAGGCATCTGTTTCTCTACCTGATCTCTGCTGCTTTGGCCTCGACTGCTCTCCTCTTTCACTCCATCACCACAGCCTTCACTCAGACGGGAGCAAGTACGTCGCATGCGCTTCTTGACCATTTAGGATTTCTCCCCCGCTTACGTCATTTTCTACCAAGATGCAGATTGATATGCATGTTATTCACTCCTTCACCACTCCCTCTCAATTTGTCATCCACCCTCAGCCTCAGCCCTCATCTCCTATCCCCGGTGTCGCCTCACCCAACCTCAAAAGATACACTTTTGGGAGTTCGGACTCATCGCTTCCACAGACTGGAACATTTTGGAAGTTGAATCTCAGTTGAGCAGAAAAGACAACAGCTCTCCTTTTAAGAGCCGTTTCTTATGTTACAGCGTGTCAGGCAGAGCTGCTTAACACACTTACAGGTAATTCCTTTTGAAATGATCGACACTAAAAGAAGTGATTTCCCAGCATTCATTAGAGCAACCTGGTTACTTGACAGCCAGCTACTCCGATGCATCCAACCGGGGTTTAGATTTTTTTCTTTTTTTGTCGTTGCTAATCAAAGCAGCAACATGATGAAAGAGGTTGTCAAATTTGAATACAGACATCCATGAAAAGAAAGCCTAGAAATGTTTTTCTTCCTCTGGATTCCACATGGACAAAAACAAGAGTGTGATATCCGTCACGTAGCATTCTCTGCCTTTTTAAAAGGGATTGCATACATTTGTTTATTTTATTTTTTATTTTCACCTGTATAAAGCTGCTCCTCATGTGAGTCGAAGAAGCAGGTTGCCAGTCTGTAAACTGAAGCTGGGATTACGCTCATGCCAGTGTCGTAGCACTCGGGATTCGTCTTGGCTTTGAGACCGGTCTCGACACTTCTTTTTGAAGGTCTTTTCTCAGAATCGACTGCATTTTTCCTCGGTCTTGTCTCGGTCTCAGACAAAGAGGACTAGGGATTTTATTTCACAACTGCAGGGAGATCACTAAATAGTCTGTGCGTTGTTTGATTATTTGTTGACATCACTACTGTTATTACACATGGAAAACAAAGGAACATTTCCACAGATAAAAGTCCCTTCTGAAGTGCCTTCTGATTATTTGATCAAGACATTTCTCTTGGTCTCGGTTTAGGTGGTGTTGACTTCAATACTGGCTCCTGCACAGATGCAGTTAAACGTCTCTGCGGCCCTTGCAGGGCAAGCTATTATATGAGTTATGGGAGATCACAGACGCTTGCGGATGTGCACACCTCCCAAAATCTCAACAAAGCACTGTTTGGACCTGCACGTCAAGCCCGCCGGTTGGTCGATCCAACCTCTGTAAGGAGGTGGGTTTGAAACAGATGAATAAAAATAAAGGTAAACGTACTTTTGTTGTTCCAGCCTTAAAAGCTAGAGCTTTTGTGCAGACTGCAATACTTTCAAAGTTTCAAAGACAAGGTAACTTCTTCTCAAGGAGGCCGACCAGCTGCAGATCTAGGCAAAAGGTTCATGCCTGTTGCGTATCGGTTCGGCAGCGGAAGGTATATACACCATGGCGTGCTGACCCAAGGTTGCAAAACATTGGCTCCTGGGATGTGGAATGACGTGTCCCGTTCAGGAGTTGTGAGATGGAACATGAGGCCTACCGTCGCATTGCTCAGCAATTACTCAGAAGTAGCGCATTGTGAATTGAGCCTGTAAGGGAAGCTTGCCCGTTGATTTACGTTGCAATGTAATGAGCTTTAAGGGTGCAGGGTGGTTGGGCTCATCCTTAACGATAGGGATCTTAGACATCCAGATGGAGGGTTGGAGAAGAACCCATGCTCTAACACATTAAAAGAAGCCAGTTGGAAGTGTTTCAGACATCTGATTTGGATGCCCCCCTGTGCAGGCTTTTGGTACGTCCGACTGGGAGGTCACCCAGAAAATGGCCGCAGCAGTGAAAAATGGTTGGGTGGAAGGATGTTTCAAATACATTACATTACAGTCATTTAGCAGACGCTTTTATCCAAAGCGTCTGCCATGGCGTCCAGGATGTCTCGTGACGTGGCCAAGATGTGTTCTTGGAACCATTTGCATCAGGCTCTGAGTCCTTGCCAACTTTTGTTACAGATTTCAAACATTTTGTCTGGCTTTCTTCAACTAAAGGTCTCGCCTTTTGCAGATTTCACTTCTCCTATTGTTAGCTGTTCCTGTACCCCACCGGGGAAGAAAATCCATACATGGCCAAATAAGAGATTTTATTTTACCTTCACAAGCATGGTTTGTACATGGATTGAAAGGAAATATACTGTTTTTCATAGTCTGCTGAGCAACATGGTCGAAGCAAACTATCTTTTCTGTCAAAAATCCATAACTCTGCAGGATGTTCACTTCTACCAATCAGAACGCAACAATCTTGCCAATGCTCCCCTCCGTCACTCCGTGTCCCTCAACGATTTTCATTTTTCACCAGCAACACACACACACACACACACACACACACACACACACACGGATACACACTTGAGCTGCCTATCCCTTATGTTACCTCTGGGATGTAGCTGACAAATGACAGCGCTACTCGTCTGCCAACCCTGAGTCTTTTGCTCGGCAGGGTGTGTGTGTGCGTGTGTGCGTGCGTGCGTGCGTGTGTGTGCGCGTGTGTGTGTCAGCTAAATTGGGCGTAGCAGTGATGTTGTATGGAATGATCAAACAATTGATCCAAAATGTAGTTTGATGCTTTCTGGCTTGGCCTTGAGGAGGAGCGAGGGAGGAGGGGACAGAAGAGCCAAAGAACCAAAGAAGAAGGGAGTTTTGAGGAGTTTTGAAGGAGGATACAATGCGAGCACAAGTTCACAGTCTCAATGTGAATATATTTAAATACATTCCTTTCTCTTATTTTCTTTTTAATCATGCTCACTGTGGCTACAACCTAGTGGCCTCATGTGTGTGAATATGTTATTTCACAGTCTGTAGTTTATTGTTTGGAGAGATCCTTCGGTTAGTCCGGTGTAATACACCACTGCCATCCAGTGGTGAGACAGTGGAAGTACTCATTTCTGGTGGACTCTTATATACAGTATCTTCAAATCTAACACTTCTAATTTAGACCGAACACATTTAAAAGGGTAGAATACTTGTCTTTATTTAGCTTCTATGCACTTTGGACATGTTTTTATGCTTCATTAGCACTGCCATTTCCTCCTAAAAAAAAAAACACTCAGATACACAAATTCATTCTCACAACGGCACACACAAGCTTTAGTAGGCAGTGCAGCCCCTAATATCATCCATTACACTGATCTCCACTAATAGGCCACTCCAGTGGCAGACTAATTCAAGAGACTGAGTAGCATAAGTGAGCTATGGCGTTCATTAGCCTTATCAAGGATTCATAAAGCTGACCGAATCTGAATGGGACTCTCCAAGACGACCACCGGAGTCATTTACATGGGCTGTGTTTCCTCTCCACTGATGCTGACACACACACACACACACACACACAAACACACAAATGCTGCATTACATGTATTTTGAAGTTTGAACAAAATGCATGTAATGTTGATGACATACCTCTATGAGGAGCTAAAGAATGAAACAAAGCCAGCATGGTGTGGCTGTGACGTCTGTCTCTTTCTAACATGGTGGGTCATTGGGAATGAAACGTAGAGTGAGGCATTACAGGCTAAAAGACACTAAATGACTAAATTAAAGACAGATACACCACCAGATAACTACTGAAGTTACAGTGTCTGTAAAAGCTGGGCTAATACTCTTGGCGTTCTAAAATATGTATTTTTGTTTACAAAATGGGCCTAAAAACTTAATTTGATCACTATTTTAAAATATCTAGATAATCGTATATTAACAATGCATCAAGTGACTGGGTATAGAACCCACAGAGAATTATGACTCCCTTCTTTGTTTTGGTTTTGCAGCAAAAGGGCTTCCTGGTACCCTCTTGTGTTTTAGGAATCGGGCTGCTGGAAAATTATAGACCATGACATTAGTTTGGAGCAATAAATTGTTTCGACCAGCTAAGGAGTTTTTTTTTCGCCCGGACAATCAATTTCTGGATGAAGTTGCTAGCCATGCTATGCTGCTGTGGCCTTCCTAATGCTGAGTGGGATGTTGTGTGCATGCGTGTGTGTGTGTGTGTAGGTATATTGACACTGGAGTGTCTGGTTGAGTAATGGGGGCGTAGCAGAGTTTAGATGGCTTCTATCCTCCTTCCTACCCAATGCTTGAAAAGGTCATCACTCATACAGACAGAGGGGAAGGAAAAGAGAGAGAGAGAGAGAGAGCGAGAGCGAGAGCGAGAGCGAGAGCGAGAGCGAGAGCGAGAGCAAGAGCAAGAGCAAGAGCAAAGGCATGGCACCGGGAGGGACAAACACTAGATGGGAGAATGAGAGACGATTGATATAAAGTTGGAGGCCATTGTTGTAGTACCCTAAAATACACAATACTCGTCTTCTACCTTGTTTTGTTTTTTATTTATTTTATTCATATTTTATTCTAGTTAAGTACTTTGTGAGAGGGCATTACTAAATTAACTTGTTTTTTATAATGTTTTCACATTTTAACATGATGATTTCTTCCCAGCACTAAGCAAAATGTTGTATTTGTAAATGACTAATAGCAGCTAAAGCTCCTAAATCCTCATTAGCACAACAACCACTCCGGTCTGCTCCGTCCCTGAATCACATCCACACTCAGGTCACCTGACCGTACACTGGTCACACTTGTTAGTTACTGTGTAAGTAGAGATTTCTGGATTGGATTCTGTGGACGGATCATCAGAAATTCTCTCCGTTGGGTGCTCTTCACACATTCCCCTGGCTTTACTTGTTCTGCTGCGTTTACGTTCTAGTGGGAGAATCTATTAGAAATGTGATGGTAAACGGTGAATAATGGAACGACTGCTTGGAGAGTGACAGCCGAAGATTTCACTGGGATATGAGAACCATTGCTGTTATACAGCAGGAAGCCCCAAAACCCTGTAAAACAAGACGGAGTCTGCTGCCACACCATTGGCTCTGAGGAGAGTACTTTAGACACGCTTTGAGCGTTAATGCTAACATCTCCACATGACACACGGAACATGCCGAGGTTCAGCATCTTCTTTTGGAAACTACAGCTTTCCAAATTGCACAAATTTTTGCTTTCTTACTTTTATCACATACTGCAGCTGACTTTACAAAGTACATAACGTTGCATGCAGTATGCATTCAATTGGGACATACTGTCCATCAGAACAGTTAGATGAGTCAGAAAAGCATGCTGGCTAAAATACGATGCAGTGGGACATCCTGCTATCTCTGCTCTACTGCATTGGACATAGTATGCATTGGGACATACTGAATATTACTCAAGTGAAGAAGGGTCACGTTTTTATTTCTGGATTTAAAATAATGTGAAATAATCTATAGTGCGGGGGTAGGCAACCAAAGGCAGCTTAACCAATGGCAACCGAGCAGTAAGTGCCCTCTCTTCCACATGCTAAAGGAACTATTTCACAGCCATTATTGGTAGTTGCATTATTTGGTACTTTTCTTTTTTGTTGATAAAGATTAGTGGAAGGTTGCTAGGTTATTGATTAACTTATAGGTTATAGGTTAACTCAAGATGTGGATGTTTTCATGTGATAGCCTTCTTATAAAGTGCTCTCATATCATTACAACGTCCTGACTACAGCAGCATTTTTAATTTTGTTTTATAAATGTTACTATGCACGTTGCCTATAATAATGGGATAAATGTACAGATCCGAGGGAGATTTAAATTGTTGTTGCATCATAATTAAACTTGATTTTAACCTTAAGGGTGATGCAGCGCAGTGATGGCCCTTCATATAAAAGCTCCCTGATCTGGTGGGTAAAATACTGCAGTTTCCAGTGTTAATGCTAAACTAACCTGCTGGCTGTAGCTTCATATTGATCGGACAGACTATATAGATACAATATATTCACTCATCTCGATGCAAACGTAGGGTTCTTAAATCCATGAATAGATTTTGCAAATCTTTAGATCCGATGTTAAAATAAAACTCCACCTGCAAGAAGTCTGGCTTACTTTCTAAGATCTGAAAATATCAAAAAAGTAATGTCTTTGATCTGATTAAAGTTTTGTAAATTTGAATCAAAACGCACTTCATATAATTAAAATATTATTTATTATATGACATAATTTAGTTAATAAAATAGAATACAAAGTTCTCACTCAGATATCGAGGATCTCTGTCGTAAACAACGATTTAACGTACACACTCAAGTATCACTTTTCATTCAGGAGGTAAAACCAGCCATGATCTCTTTTCAAAATAATGTTAAGTCGAGCTGTCGACAGACGGGAGGGGGGGGGGCTACGTGGTCAGCCGTTCCCTCCTCGACGGCCGGTCCAAACATATCAGTGTGTCCGTCGTTCCCGGCCGCATCCAGCGATCTGTGGAGAGCGTTTCCACGGAGCCTCGGTGGTTGAGACTGTGAAGAGAATAGCGGGGAGGGGAGGAGCCGTCGTCGGACAGATCCACTGGTCCTGGAGGAGGGAGACGGGACAGTTAATATCACAACCTGGACCCCCCTTCTCGTCTTAAAACCAGTCGTCTGCAGGAAAGCGTCACCCTGCACGGACCGCTGCAGAACTCACTTTGCTCAATATCTAAAACAAGGATTTGCAACGGCGATGCTTTTCTCTGTCCAACTAGAATCAGCACTTTCCTTTGAACATGTTGAACACTGGCTGGATGTAATGACCCCTGGGCTGCTGAAACCCATTAAAGCCCTAATGTACAGTTTTAACACAGACATCTATATGAAATACTCCAGCGCATTCCTGGAAAAACAAAACTGCTTTGCTGATATTTGCATACAAAACTGGAATAACGACATAAAGTAACCAGCTGAACTCAATCTCTCAAGGTGTACCGGCTGCGTTGCTACGGCGACTGAGGGACATCAGGCGTCCTGACCCGTCCCGGCTCCGCCTCTCTCCACCGGGCTCCGCATCCCGTCTGTCACCCGTGAGGGCGGAGTAGTCGTCCTGCTGGCCAAAGGGCCGGCTGGAAGGTGCTCGATCCTGAGAACAAGCAGAGGACACGAACACAGGACTTAAAAGAAAAAAACTTTACAGCTGGAGCTTCGTTCATTAATTGTCGCTCACAGTCCACATGGTTATGGTTTTCAGCTACACCACCTGAGGGTGCTGTGGCCGTTTGGACAGCCTCCTCCTGTCCCTGGCTGACAGCGTGGGGGCTTTATCAAGCTCCGGGGTGCACCGCACTGGGAAGGCCTCGCCTAGGGGGTCTGAACACACACACGGCCAACAGCAAGATGAGCACCTATGTGAAGTCCAATCAGACTCTCTCTCGCTATATATATATATATATATATATATATATACATATATATATATATATATATACACACACACACACACACACAATATATATTATATATATGGGGTTATATATTATATATATGTGGGTAACTCCCAAAATCCTCTGTGCTGTTCTAACCACACGGGCCAGGTCCCTCCTGTTCTCTGCTGTGCAGCTGGCATACCACACAGTAAAGCACATACACAGGATGCTTTCGATCACGCTTCTGTAGAAGTTAACCAGAAGTGCAGGGGGCAGGCCAGCTTGTTTGAGCTTCCTCAGAAAGAAGAGCCTCTGCTGGGCAGTCTTCACCAGGTGGGATGTGTTCAGGGACCAAGTGAGGTCTTTAGTGATGTGGAGCCCCAGGAATTTGATGCTGTCCACCCCTCTCCACCTCCTCCCCACTTATGTAGAGTGGAGAGGGTGTGGTCTTCCTGGATCTCCTGAAGTCCACTATGACTTCTTTGGTCTTGGTGGTGTTCAGGACCAGGTTGTTGTCCGAGCACCACTCAGCCAGATGTTGGACCTCTTGTCTGTAGTGTGTCTCGTCGTTGTTGGAGATGAGTCCCACCACAGTGGTGTCGTCAGCAAACTTCACTATTGTGTTGGAGGAATATGTGGCGGAGCAGTCCTAGGTGAAGAGGGCCGGGCTGAGCACACAGCCCTGCGGTGAACCAGTGTTCAGGATGGTGGTTGTTGATGTCAGGTTCCCTATCCTGACATTCTGTGGTCTGTTTGAGAGAAAGTCCAGAATCCATGAACAGAGTGATGTAGAAAGTCCAAGGTTTTTGAGTTTATGCACCAGTTTATGGGGGATGATGGTGTTGAAGGCAGAGCTGAAGTCAATGAAGAGCATCCTGACGTATGTGTTAGGGTGCTCCAGGCGAGACAGGGCCGTATGAAGAGTGATGGAGACCACGTCCTCCGTAGACCTGTTTGCTCGGTACGCAAACTGGTGGCTATCCAGGTCTGCTGGGAGGACGTCCTTGATGTGTGATAGTATCATCCTCTCAAAGCACTTCGTGATGACTGGGGTCCGGGCAACTGGGCAGAGCACTGGGTAGTCGTTGAGGCAGGTGACTGCGGTCTTTTTTGGGACAGGGACAATGGTGGTGGCTTTGAGGCAGGTGGGGACTGCAGCTTGTTGCAGGGAGAGGTTGAAGATGTTAGTGAAAACCTCTGCTAGCTGGTCGGCACAGGTCTTCAGTGTACGGCCCGACACTTTGTCCGGTCCCGCTGCCTTGGTGATGTCGATCCTCCTCAGAGCGGACCTCACCTGGTGGTGCTGGAGGAAGAGTGTCTGCTCCTCCTTGTGCTTGGTCTTCTCAGCTGTTGCTCCGCTGTGCTGTCTATCAAAGCGGGCAAAGAAGCGGTTCAGGGTGTCGGGGAGTTCACTGTCCTGACTGATCTGTGTGGTGCTGCTCTTGTAGTCAGTCAGGGTTTTAATACCTCTCCACATGCTCCGGGGGTCGTTGTTCTCGAAGTGTCCCTCAATGCGCTGTTTGTATCTGCGCTTGGCCTCTTTGATTCCCTTCTTCAGGTCCCTCCGGGCACTTTTATAGGCCGGTATGTCACCAGACCTGAAGGCAGCGTCTCTTGCTACCAAGCAGTAACCGCACGTTTCTGTCCAGCCAAGGTTTTTGATTTGGGAACACTTTGATGGTTTTGGTGGTCGTTACGGTCTAAAGTGTAGGTAGGCCAGGACAGCCGAGGTGTACTCCTCCAGGTCAGCTCCCTGTGCAAACACTTCCCAGTCCGTGCTTTCAAAGCAGTCCTGCAGAAGTGAAGCAGCGTCGTTGCTCCATACTTGAATGGTTTTGACAGCTGGTCTAGTTTTGCAAATTACTGGTTTATATGATGGAGTCATTATCAGAGAGAGGTGGTCTGATAAGCCGAGGTGTGGAGATGGTGCAGCTTTGTATGCTCCCGAGATGTTGGTGTACACCTGGTCCAAAGTATTCTTGTCTCTGGTGGGGAAGCTTACATTTCTGTGGAACTTGGGCAGCACAGTCTTTAGTTCTGCGTGGTTGAAGCCTCCTGCCACAATCACAGGTCCCTCCGGATGAGCGGTTGCTAACAGTGCTGTGTAGCTCCTCCAGAGCTAGCTTCGCGTTAGCATGTGGTGGGATGTAAACAGCTGTGATCAGGATGGCAGAAAGTTCCCTCGGCAAATAGAACGGTCTGCATTTCACAGCCAGGTATTCTAAGTCCGGGGAGCAGTGTTTCCCAATGATGTCCGTAGCTGTACACCAGTCATTGTTCACGTAGATAAACACTCCTCCACCTCTGCTCTTACCAGAGTCTCCAGTCCTCTCTCCTCGGTAAACCGTTCGACCCGCTAGCTCGATAGCTTGTTGGGAACGGTACTGTCCAGCCAAGTCTCTGAAATTACCATCACACAGCTGCTCATGTTGTGCGACGTAATCCTTAGCCTCATTTCGTCGATTTTGTTGACGAGTGACCGGGAATTTGCCAGAAAAAGACTCGGTAGAGCTGGTCGGTTGGGGTTAGCTCGTAGCCTAATTATCCCCTTAAGTTGTAGAAACATTAAAAGCACTCGTTTTAGATGAAATCACAAGCATACAGACGATGACATTGTGTTGAAAAGGATCCATTTTTTTAACTTCCTGCCTCAAGACCACAAGTAATACTTCTTATTAACTTTGACTTTGACTTACAGCATCCTGCTTTAACAAGACTGGTGAAGTCATGTTTGTTCTGTAGCAGCTCTGAGGTTTCTCTAAGACCGATAGCCCCGGCGTTACTGCACCTATAGCATTAAAGATGTGTCGCACGTGTCGTTTCAAATAATGACGGTGAAAATGTCTTACCAATGAAAGCACTCTCTGAGTCCAGCAGGGAACCTCTGGCAGACCTCCCCATCACACTCCTCTGGAATGCAGACAACTGGTTTAAACAAACCACTCGGTTACACGTTAGTGACGGTGCATCTCTGAGAGGGAATGTTTGGAGCTGAAGTACAGCCGCTATTCTTTCTGTTCAACTCACCAGATAACAATTCAGCCGTGGTGGGGACAGGTCACAATAATCTGCAACACAAGGATTTAAAATGTGATCTATTTATTTTTATTACCAGAGAAATATCAAAAACCATAGACCTCATTTATTAACATGTGATCCGCATATCCTATCTGAATAAGGAGCACAATGTTGGTGAACCAGACCACCTCCAGGGGCCAGTTCCTCTGACTATATGTGCATATTGAGATCCAATCACAACACGGGCCCAACTGAGAAAACCAGACTGCGTATTAATACCAGGTGTGAATACGAAAACCAACAGATTAGAGTTCATTATCCAGTAACAGATCACATGTCAATATCAAGCGTAGATGGGAACACATAGAAGCTATAGTCATCCTCAACAACCTATAGCATGATAACAGTGAAAAGATAAACATGATGTCTAAATGTCTAAGTGAAACTACTGCAAAGTGATAAGTGGGACATGGCTCTGACCGTCCTGGACTGTAGACCCCCGGCTGCTGTAGTCCCGCCTCCTCCTGCCGGCCACACCCACTTCCTCCGTCTTAGGACCCTCCCTGAAGCCCAGCCTGGACTCGCAGTCTGACACACACACACACACACACACACACACACACACACACACACACACAAAAAGTCAGCTAAAGGCGCTGGTTTGCGGCAGAGCACGGTGAACACCTTAGGACTTGTGTATTACCGGAGTATTTGAGCTGAAGGGAGTCGTGGATTCGCAGCAGGTTACTGGGTTCCGTGTTTCTGGAGTTGGGCCGTCGGACCGGAGCCTGGAGCCGCAGCCTGGCCATGTCGAACACGTCCACCTGGCGACGCTCCCCATGTCTGCACAAAGAAAGACAGAAGACACTCAAATGTGGACAAACTGAATTGGTATCAGCCACTCAAATGGCACAGCAGAATCCTGACACAATATTAACCAGAAAGTCACTTATTTCTACCATTTATCCATCACTTTTGGTGTCTACTTGAACTGTTACGTAGCGTGCTACTAAGTGATCGTGATGCTGGGTCAGACCTGTCACTCAGAGGAGAGTCGAACTCGCCCCAGTCGACCTGCTGCAGACGACCCTCCAGCCTCCTCTCTTCGCTGCGAAGATGCCGACGCAGCGCCGACAGCTCGCTGAACACGTCGCGCTGGTCACCTGGAAACACACACACAGGCAACACCTGAAACAGTGGTTTCCTTTCTTACACCGGTTCTCAGTACTGAGCTTCAACTAGCACAAAGAATATCACAAATACGACACGGTCAGTAAATGATTGCACTGCCCGTTGAACTCGCTGCCAAATCTGCAGTGTCTCAGCATTCGGTTTAGACCGCTTCTGTGCTCGGGTGACATTGTGTAACCCACTGGCTGATGCAGTACCTGCAGCTCGGAGCTGGTTCCTACGAGCCGGGACAGGAGGGGACTGGAGACCAGACAAAGAGCGCTCCTGAAAGAGACATGAAAGAGTTGAGAACAGAGACACCCAAAGGGAAAGAGAACACATCCAGGGAGGAAGTAGCTGAGAACATATCCTGTGTTATACAGAGGCGTGAGTGTGTGTGTGACTCACAGACAGGAGGGCAGTTGAATGCTGGCTGTCAACAGTGGGCGGTCTGGGGGTGTACTGGTGTAGCCCAGGTCTCTTCTGCAGGGTGGGGATCGGTGGTGAGGGCTCCCTGCACACCTAAGAACACACAGCCGCCCACTCGTTGCATTAAAGCTTCAAATATACTACTGTACATATCAGACACTAGAACATGTGCATTAGAATATGAGAATGTAAACACGGCTATAGTTTTATTATCCAGCTATATTATCCATATTATAGAGTGATGCAAGTCATGCATCAAGTATTTATATACTGGCAACACTTGCATAAGTAAAGTGTTGCCACTTCCGACAGCTTCCCATTTGACACTTGTGGTCACTTTGAATGCCTCTCGGTCGCAGCAGTCAGTGAACTAACCTCCTCCACCCGAGCCTGCCTCTCCCTCTCATACTGCCTCCTCAGTGCTGCCCTCTCCTCCTCCTCCTCCGCTTCATTCTTCTCCCTCTCCAGTTCCTCCTTCCTCCGCTCGGCCAGTTGAATCAGCTCCTCGTTCTTGACCTTTTGCTGAGAGACAGAGAACAGAGAGATGGAGGGAAAGGGGAGAGAATTGGAAATGATTAAAGACAAGTGTAAACCCTACCTATGACTTGTTTTTTATTATCTTAGCGCCTCACCTCCATTTCCTTCCGTTTCTTCCTCTCTCGCTCATCATCAAACTCCCTCTGGATGCGAGCCCTCTGCTCCGCCAGCCTCTTCTCCTCTTTTTCCTCCTCCAGTCTGCTCCGTTCCCTCTCCTCCGCCTTTTTCAGCATTTTCTCATCAATCTGTAAGCAAATGCAGATGAAAGACAACATGAAGTACATCAACAGAACCCACAAACAACTTTGACATTAAACGAGACAGAACTTTACTTTTTGTCGATTTTGACTTTTCCCCACATGTCCCGTCTCTCTCCACTTTCACTATCAATTAAAGGCATACAATGGCCAAACAAACAGCTAACGTTAGCCACATCCAACCTCAGCTAGAGCGTTTGCTAGCTTTGATTTAGCCAACATAAACTTTTGTTTAAACCACTTCTCGCAAGGTGCTTCAGAAATCAAATAAACGATCAACGAAGGATAATTCTTCTTTGTGCTCTATCAGTCAATTCTTTCCTTTTTCTATTTGCCGATGTCGCCCCAGGATCAGCCGTGACCATAAAATTCTCTACAGACAAAGTCCTCCTGCTTCCCTTTAACTGGCTAACATCCCACCCACTGCCCGTGGACATGTAAACGTCACGGTCTGTGAGCCGTAAATAGTTTAATCTGATTTTTTGTCATTATGAATAACTACCGTTCTACCGTTTTTAGAAACAGTCATTTAGTTGATGGTGTAGTTTGCTAATGTTGGTCACAGACAGGCATCAGTATTAAATTGAGACCGTTTCATAACCAGTTAAAAGCACTTGCATTAACTTTAATTCAGAAAAATATTTTTTTTTATTTCTATCGAGGCACGAAACAAAATGTCAAAACCTCACTTCTGCCAGCAGAAGTGAGGAGAAGGCTCGACAAGCCTCCCATAAGACACAGGCAGTAGAGGTACCACCAGTAGATGAAAGCGGTACCTGCTGTTGGAGGGAGGCTTTGTACTTGTCCTGCTCATGGAGCTGGTGCTGGGTGGGCTGGTTGGAAAACACACAGCCTCTGGCAAACTGGGGGGTTTGGGCATGGCTGAAACCTACAAAAGACAGAAATTCTACTTGAGTAGGACCAAAGAACCTTCTTTTCAAATAGAATCTGACAGAGCAGTAGCCGAGGACACCAGTATATTGGTGTAAGATGGAACAAACCCCCACAGAGGTTTTGTGTTCTACAGTGCTGTGTGGAAAGTGCAGGCTGCAATGCTAACAACGTGCTAACGGTCACGGCTACAACACAAAGAGAAGAAAGGCGGTTACGATACCAGAGAGCCTGTCACTAGTGTCGTGGCTGCTGCACTCTGCTACAGTACCGGAGACCCTCTCGCTGGGGTCGGGGAGCTCCGCTCGGCGGGCCGTGGCTCTCCTCTGCCACTGCTCTGGGTTGATGTAGGCCTCCACATTCAGTTTGTGCATCTGGTGGAGGTCAGCTGGTCCACAAGAAGAAGAGGAGAGAACTTAACAAACTTGGAACTTGGACAAAAACAAAATTAAAAAAACAACCTTTCACGGTATTTTAAGAATCAGACACTAAACTGTGGGACCTACCGATCAGGTTTCCAGTGCTGTCTCTGAGCGGGGCTCCTCCTCCACCTCGACCCCACGGCTGGTGCTTCTTCATGTCTGCCTCCAGCTGGGCCTCGTAGCGCTCCTCATCCTCCCTCTCCACGCGCCTCTGTTCCTGTTGCTGCTGGATCTGTAGTACAGCATTTTCTATCAGAATCCTCAAATGACATCGTTATTCTCTAAACACTGAGAAATAGTATTTATCAGCAGCATCTTCTCCTGCTTTGTAAGAGTACAATCATCTCCAACTGAAGCAGTGATACCTGTGTGATCTAAATAACTACATGGCTCTTTAGTGAGTCACATTACTCATACATATACATACATATATATATACACAGTTGTGTGAAAAAGTGTTTGCCCCCTTCCTGATTTATTTTTTTGCATGTTTGTCACACTTAAATGTTTCAGATCATCAAACAAATTTAAATATTAGACAAAGACAACACAAGTAAACACAAAATGCAGTTTTTAAATGAAGGTTTTTATTATTAAGGGGGGAAAAAAATCCAAACCTACATGGCCCTGTGTGAAAAAGTGATTGCCCCCCCTGTTAAAACATAAATTAACTGTGGTTTATCACATCTTTGGAAAGCTGAGTTCAATTTCTCTAGCCACACCCAGGCCTGATTACTGCCACACCTGTTCTCAATCAAGAAATCACTTAAATAGGACCTGCCTGACAAAGTGAGGTA